TCAATAATTAGGCTCAACATGGAAGTATTGACTCTTTCCGGAAGAGATATTGCATGGTTCTTGGAAGATCCCATCCCTTTTTGTATATTCTCTTGACATATCATGGGGCAAAACATGGCAACCTCTTGTTCCACTTGTTGGATTGAACCATCAGCAGTCTGAAGCCAGATATAAGACTTCATCATCTGAGAATCAGTTGGCACCATTGTGACTTCAGAATAACTTTTAAGTCTCAACATTACAAAGAAAAATAAAAGCAGCAAACAGATACACAACCTGCCCACCCTCACATCCCCCTCCAAAGAAAGAAACAAAAAAAGAAAACAAACTAACACCCCACAAGTGAAGGCAGCTACAAGCATTCAAATGGGAAAATAAATAGGAAACAATTGATAGAACCATGGCTTGAAGAAAATAAATAAAATTCATTGATCTACTAAACACTAGACAAAGAGGACATAACTTAATCGGAAAAAAGGGGGGGAGGGGCAAACAGAAGCAGGAAAAACACACAATGACAGAGTTATTCTACCTCAGGTTTAATAACAGCCATGTCACCTTCTGACATTTGTACAAAGCCAAGTTCTGAGACTTAAAAACTGGAGTGCATCAGGCAAAAGAAAATAACTTTATGCTTCTTAAGCAATGAGGCTCATATGCAAACTAATTTAACTTGTCCACCGTTATGTCCTGTCAAGTCAAACAACATTATCATCAGCAGCCGTTCTGTGTAAAACTTGCCCAAATTTTATCTAACACAAATTAAACAACACAGCTCTTACATGCCATGAAACAACCATTTCCAATATTGTTGAACAAAATCTATACTTCATACTTATTTCCTTCATTTCCAAAGTTAACGAAATAGGATGTCGATTATTATATTTCCCTAAATCATGTGATAAAACTTACAATATTTAGGTACCTGAGCTGAGTTTATCGATTATGATAAATATTATAACTGATAGATGATTGAAGACTCATTTTACTAAAGATTTCAGTGCACTGAGCTCCAAATTAATGGGTAAATCGCAATTTTTATTCTTTGCAACCAATTTCTTTTTCCTGCACATTCTCGGCAACCAAACAAGTATATATAGAAGAATCAATACATATAGGAAAGCAAAAGGACAGACAAACCAATTAACCCAAAAAGGAGACATACTTAAAGTACGGATTGCAGATAGCGAGAGCTTTGAATTGCAGAGATTTGGCGGTTGTCGGCGAACCCCAAAATGGATAAAAACCGATTTAATTTATGCATTTGAGAAAAAAAAAATGAAAAAAACAAAACAAAACTTTATTTGCGTCTGAAAATGCGTCAAAATACAAACGTCTGCCACTCACACGTCAGCCTTCGTTAGGGTTTCCTGACCTCTGTCATTTATGTTTGATTGTTTATTCATGTTTTCAATCGACGGCTCATACTCATTTATAAGTGTTTAGTTAACTTTAAGCCATTAATTGAAGTGAATAATATCAATAGAGAAAATCTTAAATGTAACGTATTAAGAAAGAAAAGCTTACATACAATACAACGTATTACGAAAAGGAAACTTACATATAACGTATCACCTATGTTGTACGGACACTTTAATTAGTTAAAATGATAAAATGTTTAGGAATAGCAACGAGCCTGTTTGTGGTCAAATATGACAATACCATCCCCGTCCTGTCACTAACCCCATCCCCAATAAATTTTTTTTGAGGAATCCATGTCCCTATTGAGGGATTCTTCATCAAACCTATCCCGAATCCCCTATTTATTTGTAGAACAACCAATTCACATATACAATACAACACTAAATATGTTCTTAATGTTAGTTGAGTAAATAGAAACATGTATCTATACAAATAAAATGTAGCCTAATTAAAAAAGAAACTGGTTGATCAACACTATGTCATTAAGATATACAACATGCAAACCTGTCATTTTTATTTAGAAACCTAAGAGATGCACGTGTAATTGAAATGAATGCCATATGCAAGAAAGAAAGACCCCGTAATAGTATAATGGTATTAAATTTCTAAAATAATTTGAAAATAAGTTCATTGTTATTTTAAAATATGTTTATTAATTAAAAATTATAATCTCTTATCAGGCCAAGTTTGGGAATAGGAATACCAATACCTTTTTTCGGCCCGTTTTTTACCGGGAATTTTTAAAATTCAAGGATCCCCGTACTTGCCCCAAAATTTCCCTTAAAATATCCCCCAGTTAGGGTTGGGGACCCAACGAGGATTTCTGCCATCTCTAGGAGTGTCGGACATGCGTTGGACATAATTAACGAACTTGAACACAGTCAAGACACTCCATGACATGGTCAACCCATGGTCAATCCATTGTCAAGACACTTGAAATTGTTTTAAAATTTGGGCCAAAACACAATTATTGAAACTTGTTTAGGGACAATTTTTATTTTTTTAAAAAAGAAACTGGAGTCAAAATTATAATTTTGAAACTCTTTTATACTTATGCCAATTACCTTATCAGGCCCTCTTCATTCCCTCCCAACGTCCCCTACCTTTTTCTTCTCTTCTTGGTACTTGAGATCATCTTATGTTTTATTTTGTATTGTATTAATTATTTTGTGTCGGTACTCGGTACTCAGATATTGGATTAGTCCAACATCCTAGTCTAATCCACAATTCTTATTGGTGCACCAAACATGGGTTAGGACACTAGTTGTCTTTAATTGGAATCATTTTGTTCTTACCAAACCAAGCAACCCACCAAAAGAGACCTAATGATCATTTTATCGCGATGGACTCTACATGAGGTCTACATAGATGAACAGTCGGCTAACTATGCTCATCATCTGTCGAGCCTCAAACCAACTATTTTGTCTAGTTAGGCCCATAAGCTTTTTAACTCAAATCAACAAACACAAAATATTTCAGCTAGTTTTAGTTGCCTTCATGTTTTCTCAGTTCATCCATAAATGCAGGCATCTATCTATATTTTGCTGCTTTGCATAGTTTTTGCTCCCAATTTCATAGGTTTAGACAGACAGACAGACAGACAGACAGATGATGTTTTTGTGTTGGTCGGCAGAGCCTTGTTGGGTGGAAGAAGACATGCAAGTGTACGACATCGGATGGCTGCCGCGTGGATCCAGGGTGTTGCTTGGACGGTTTGATGTGAAGTGTGTGGTGGTTGAAAACTTTGAAGACTAGGAAAATTAAGGGTTCAGATTCGAAATGATTGAGACGGGGCCCACATACCACAAGAGCAAAGCAATTGTGTGAGTTGGATTTTGAACGACCGGCCAATACTCATGACAAAAGGATTTTTCAGTTTTCTGAGGAGAATGAGCAGGTCATGGTGAGGTCCCCTCGGTCCTACCCACTTATTAATGTTTTCTAGCAATCAATTCTTGTGTGTGTATTATATTTAGGGTATGGATAATGTTGATACATCCAGATAAGATTTATTTTGATCAATGATTAGCCCTTTGCTTAATCAACAATTCAGATTAATATTCTTATGAATAAAGTATCAAACTTTGGGATAAGAAAATAAGTGGATACATAATATTGTAGGAAAAATTGGTGCGAAGTGGTGTTGTTGGAATGATGTCCTTCGAATTGTTTGATCCACGTTTATTTTGATCAGATAATATTGATCGCTTAGAAGGTTATGATCGTTATTTCAAACCGAGAAATGAAATTATTGATTACATAATCGATGTTTAAAACTATAAGAAAGGTTTTGCTTAGGAAAAGGATATAGCACTTCAATTTTATCTGAAAAAAAGAATAAAAAAGGACTATGGAACTTTTTAATTTCATGAAAGTAAAGTAAAGTATGTAGCCGTTGTTGTCCTCCATGTTGTTGCGTGATATTCCATTTCTTTATTTAGACCCATTCTTGACAAACGTCCACAAGTTTGATGCTTTTAGGCTGCCGTCCCTTTCTCAACGGTCCTAAAAACGCCCCACAAATTTCCTCAACCATTAAAATTTTTACAACTTTTTTATTTTTCTTTTTCTTTCTTTCTCTGGGTTTGTGTTCTTCAATCATACTGCACCAGAAGAAGTTGCCTTTACATTATAAACAATGAATTGCGTTGGCCAAAGTGGTCAACTTTTGCCTCTTTTTAGACCTATCATTATTATCCACCACACCCCTTGATTCTAATTGGGTGCCATACATGGTATTATTATTTTTTAATACAAAGTGATTTTGGGGAGATTTTTGCTCACAACTTTAATTATATGATCACTACTTTTTTCAACACTTGACACGTGTTGATAAACATAATCATAGTTACATAAATTAAAGTAAAAATTAATCATGGTTATGTCTATGAACACGTATCAAGTATTAAAAAGAGTGATGAACTTACATCTTAGATTAAAATGATGAACAAAAATATTTATGTGATACTAAAGAAAGAGAAAATCAAACCTAAAACATTGAATACAAGAATAAATGCTCTTGAGCGACTGTGGTACAAGGCCCTTGTATGGTATTGTTTAGACAGCAATTTAACCAGAGACTTGTTACTTGAGGTTTAAAATACGCCAGACCAAGAAAAATGAAAACTTCAAAATATTGAAGAAGTGGATTAAAAGCCAAGGAAGAAAGAGACATGAAGGTGGAGTGAATAAGATTAATTTATCCAAAAGGGTCTGCAAGGAAGATAAAGATACCCCACCATCCCCGACATGGTGACAGACAGCAGCTGTCCTCATCTTTTCTGCACTTTCCAGAAACATCTCTTGATTAAACCCACAGAAATTTCCATTATAACTAATATTTGTATTTACAATGGAATTAAAGTAATGGTTTAAGATTAAGAATTAAGCTTCCACTTTTGAGAATTATAGAATAGTTCCAAATAATTCACCAACCACAGAGCCCAAAAGGAATACAACTCAAAAAGTGCAAATGAGTTTTATTTTATTTTTAGGTTAATTAAAAATAAAATGCTTTTCATAATTTCTTTAACATACTTTAACAGCTCACACTCATAATATTTGTTTCCCTTTATAAACCTCACTCCATTGCTCACTCAACCAAATCATAGCTCTCACTCCAAAAACCAAAGCTTTCAACTTTGTAGAGAGAAGGCCAAAACCAGAGTTCTTGAGAGAGAGAGAGAGAGAGTGAAAACAGAGAAATGGAAGGGAAAGAAGAAGATGTGAGGCTGGGAGCCAACAAATTCTCAGAGAGGCAGCCCATAGGGACATCTGCACAGACAGACAAGGACTACAAGGAGCCACCACCAGCACCTCTGTTTGAGCCTGGTGAGCTCAAGTCCTGGTCTTTTTGGAGGGCTGGAATTGCTGAGTTCATAGCCACCTTCTTGTTCCTCTACATCACTGTCTTGACTGTCATGGGTGTTTCTAGATCTCGCAGCAAGTGTTCTACTGTGGGTATTCAGGGCATTGCTTGGGCCTTTGGTGGTAGCATCTTTGCCCTTGTTTACTCCACTGCTGGTATCTCAGGTATATTTCTTTATTTTTCTCTCATATTTTTCTTTCTTTTGGTTTGATCTACTACGTACTTGGCAGGCTTCCTTTCTTTTATTGTTTTTGTCTTTTAAAAAAATAACGTTGATGGGTTAAATATGTGAAGATATATACAATAAAAAAAAATTCGGGTTTTGAGTTGTTTCTTAAATTTATGTTTGGTTCCTAGTGAGGGAAGGAAAAGTAACAGTGGCGAAAGAAAAAAAGTTCCTCTTTTACTTATGCTTTCTGAGAGAATCAAATGGAGGAGGAGTCATGTTTGTGTATGGATTTGCTGTTTCGGTTGGTATCTGAAAGTTTTACTGGTCATCACTTTACAGATGTTTGTATGCTTGCTGATGAAAAATAAAGAAACCACTTACTAAAAGAGAAAAAAGAAAAAAGAAAAAAGAAAAAAGAAGCGATCTTGTGTTTGGATATTGTGATCATCTGAAATTTCAGAGGCTTATTTCTCTAAATTCCTGTTTGGTTAGTAATGGTGGTTACTGCTAAAACTGAGAATGGTAGAGTGAAAAAATGGGATTTGTTAAAGGTGCAAGCTTTGTTCCTGATCTCCTTGATGCTTTTAATGGCCTTTTTCACTTTACCTCACAACATTCAGGAAAATGAAAATCTTCATTTTTGTTATGCAGTATAAATTTGAAAGTTGATAGTATAAGGAAAAAAGATAATATTAACCTTGCTTTGTTGATCATTTGGTCAGGTGGTCACATAAACCCAGCCGTGACATTTGGTCTCTTCCTAGCAAGGAAGCTCTCCCTGACCAGAGCTGTATTCTATATAGTCATGCAAACCCTAGGGGCAATTGTTGGTGCTGGGGTGGTGAAGGGGTTCCAAAAGAACCAGTATGAGTTGCTGGGAGGTGGGGCTAATGTGGTGAACCATGGCTATACCAAGGGTGACGGCCTTGGTGCTGAGATTGTTGGCACTTTCGTTCTTGTGTACACTGTTTTCTCTGCCACTGATGCCAAGAGAAATGCTAGAGACTCTCATGTCCCTGTAAGTATATCTCACCTTTTCTTTTCTTACCTGGTTTTTTGATTTCCCACTTGTTTCTACACTGTCCTCTTATGATTTTCTGTGACATGGATACAATTTTATACCTGTCCTCTTATATTCTCATTGCAATGCTATAGTACTGGGCATAATCCCCATTGGAGTGAGATTATTGTAAAACTAACCATTTTGATACCCTTAGCCACTGTTAATTTTAAAGTCTTATTTGGTTGAAAGTTTAATGCAGGTTTACTCATTTGCACTGAATTTTTAGTAGAACAGTGTTTTCTATTTAACGCTAATTTCATTTGCACTGAGTTTTTAGTAGAACAGTAAGTGTTTTCTATTTAAAGCTAATGTCATAAGCCTGATGAATCTGACTTTCTTATGGATTAATCTTTCAGTGCACTCATAATTTTCATCATTACTTTCAATCGAAGTCCTTTTTTGAAAGTTCTATGCAAGTTGACCCTCTTTTGCACTAAATTTTTAGTCAAGTGGGTTTCTATTTAAAACTAATGAGTGTGGTTCATGAATCTGACCTCCTTATGGATTTGTGGGGGTGCGAATAGTGCTTGGTGTGACACTATTCACGCTCCCCAATTGTGGGAGTACTTGGGGTCACAAACTGTTATGATTCCAAAAAAATCAGATAGTGAAAATCTTCTTTCTTGAGATTTTTACTATATACATATTGATCAACTAGTATCGTATCCACACCTCCTCAATCTAGTGATTTCTTGAGTTTGATTTTATGTTGCATAATGAAATTCTTGCATGAAGTTGCAAGTGGTATCATTTTTGGCAGCTGAATACTAAACCACCTTTCCTGTACGAATTAAAATGCAGATCTTGGCCCCACTTCCCATCGGGTTTGCAGTGTTCTTGGTGCACTTGGCAACCATCCCCATCACCGGAACCGGCATCAACCCTGCTAGGAGCCTTGGGGCTGCCATCATCTACAACAAGGACCGTGCATGGAATGATCATGTGAGTAAAACTGTTAAACATCATTTGAAGTCACATCTAAATGTGTGGTTGAGATTATATGTGTCTTAAACCTGGGATGATTTTGTTGTGTTTCAGTGGATCTTCTGGGTGGGACCGTTCATCGGAGCTGCACTTGCCGCCCTCTACCATCAGATAGTCATCAGAGCCATCCCATTCAAGACCAGGGATTGAGAAGTTGTCTGGGTCTCGCCATTCAGCCTTGTGTCATAGGCCGCAACGATTATATTATCTCGTACATTATGTTCTGATGTTGAGAGTGGAATATTTGGGGTGTGCATAAGTTATTTGCCTTGTTACATTAATGGAGAGCCTTATTTAATTTATACTTGTCATTGTGGTAATCCTTGTTGCATTAATTAGTCTCCACCAAGTTCATCTCTTTGATACCGTACGGCTTAGCCGGGGTGGTCACTGGCACAGCATTAATCAATAAGCAAACTAGCTAGGGTGGCAGACCAGAAAAAATAAAAAAAGAGAAAAAAAGGGCTAGCTAGCTGGAAGTTGTATGTTTCCTGATTCATAAGATGTTAAACAGCCGTGGAATTAGTCGTAGATCATGGAAAATAATAAAAACATAGAAGGTTAACTTGTAATCTGACACAATGACATACCATTTCAAGTTCCAACTACAAGAACAATTCAAAAGATAGGGACATGCTCTTAAATAACACTATTACGGTAACAAAGTTAACAAGAACAATTTAAAAGATAGGGAAATGCTCTCAAGTAACACTAAAACTGACTCATTATATCGGTGTTATCTCGATATGTAGTCGAAACTGTCGATATTGTCTAATTATTTCAATAGGAAACAATTATAATCTCATATGAGAATGATCAATCATAAGTAAAGTAACAATGTTATTTGAGAATTATTCTACTGGTATGTTGATATTTGAGAGTATTACTATTCCAACCTCAACACAAGTTCATAGCAATGATCAATTTCCATTATGTCTGCTTCATTCTATACGTTCTTTTTGGTATCAAGTTCATCATAATGTTTATTTATTAAACTATCCGGGACATCACATTATGTCATTTATATATATATATAAAGCAAAATGCTGAGAATGGTAAAACATTCAAAATACCAGAAAATGTCCTTTGTTAATGCAAATAGTAGGAACTGAAATTATTAATTAAATAAGAATAATATGGTAAATTATCACTTTTTCATATTTTTAAAAAGTAAAATTAAAAGAAAATTCAGATAATGAATCATATTTTTATGAAACACAACTATCCATTATCTTTTTTAATTCTAAAATAAATTTAATTTTCCGCATTTAGGAGAGGCTAGTTATATTATACCACTCAGAAAGTCATGTTGTCAGCCATGCATGATCGACAAAAGACAGGAAAGACCAAAAGAGAGCAAAAATTGGCCCAATTATCTGAAAGTGGATTTATCTGGAAGAAAAAAAAAAGGAGGGGAAATTCAGAACAAATATTAGAAGGGGTGAAGAAAGGATGAGAAAAAGTACATAGAATATAAACAAAAATTAAAATAGTTTTTCATTTTCCTATCTCTCATGCCCTTTCTTTAATTAAAAAGGAAAACTAATGTGGGCCTTTCAAATTTTCTGATATTCAGCTGGCCCAAGCCCAAACTCCAAACTCCAAACTCCAACTTTAGCCTACTGACAGTCGTTTCCAACTTTTCTCGTTCGATATTTCTCCTTCTCTCAGCCTCACGCCACCACTAGCAGGTAATTGCAACTCCTCCTCCGACTGCACTAGCAGCCTTTCAAATTCACTGTCTCGGTTTTCTAATAACGTAATTATATGTTTCTGTCATTTGGTTTCATTCTTCCTGATGCATATTCAATTCTCGGAAATGGACCTTGCTTTATAATTATTGATCTTGTGCTGGGATGTCTTTCTCTGATAAGTAAATTGTACCCATGTAAAGCTTCGATTTTTCCTTGAATTACAGTCTTAAAATTGTTTTCTTTTAAATCTGCTAGCTCTTAAGAGCAATTTGGTGAAGTGGGTCGGTACTGCTCTCCTAAAATTTACTGAAAGATTTGAACTTTGGATGTGGGATTAGATGGGTTTTGATTATATCTGTCATCAATTGATCAATTGATTGTCTGCCAGTATTTTCTAAATAATCTGGATGAGTATTGATGGATTTTGGATGGGTTTATGCTGGTTTTTGTAGTTAGTTTATCTTTGGAATATCTCTCAAGTGGTTTGGTAATTTTTTTATTTAAATGATGATACCGGGGTAGTTGAATTGGTGATGATACCGGGGGTAGTTTAAATGGGGTTTTATTAGACAATGGAAGCCTGTGTGTCGTGGAATTCTCTTTGTGCTGTAGTATTGTTAAGTCATCCAAGTTCCAAAGATGAATTCTTGTTTTAATGTTTCAGTTGTGCTTTTAATTCAATCTCCGGTATTCTTCTGAAGCGTTTGCTTATATTATCACACAATCTTCCTCCTTTTTTTGTTTTTGGCCAACAGATTCGCATTGGTACACTTTTGAATATTTCTTTTGTTCTAATACTTGGTTGTTATCTTGATTCCAGAATATTTTTGTCTTGTCATTTTCTGAGTTTCTATCACTAGGAAGAGCTCATACTTTCTCTTATAACGGTTTATGAGACATTTTTATAAATTGCCTTACATAATTTTTTGTACATATTATAGGAAAAGCGTGCCAATAACATTAGAGTTTTGTGTTTTTTCTTTCGGTTGTTAATACAAATAATTTTAATATGGAAACACCAAACAAAAACCCTAATCTTCTAAGTCAACCAAACAGCGTAGTGCACGGCTGAGTTCATCTACTGCTTTCTAGTTTCTAGGTAGAAATAAATCATATCTGGAGAACTGAAGGAAGACAACTATGTCGTTTATGAAAGGAGATTTACTTACAAGAACCAGAAAGCTGGTGAAGGGCCTGGCCAAGGCTGAGCCTGTTTGGCTCAAAGCCATGGAACGGTTTGTCTCTCTCTTTCTCACCATTCTGTGATTCTTGGAATGCATTTTCTTATATTTTTTATTTAATTTTTGAAAACATAATGTTTTGGGAATTTCTCAGGGTACCGCCTGTAACATTTCCTCGTGCAGATGCAATTCAGAAAATCACTCTCCCAGAGGATGTCTACATAAAGAAGTTTTTCCAAAAGCATCCAGATTCCAAACATGAGGATGCCATCAAGTATGGTTTATCTTTGTTTTTTGTTGCAGTACTCGGTGTTCATGTTCCTCTTCATTTCATGTGCTATCAGTCTCTCAGTGTGTGAGCAAATGAGTTCTGGTCTCATTACAAATGGGGTGTTTTCATAATTTATCCTTGGCAGACAAATGTGATTTGTATTTCAGAATTGAATATGTTGCGTGAATCAGAAAGACATATTAACTTATTATCAGAAAACTCATGACATATTAACATAGCAATTATGTTTGAACAGGTTTTCTGCTTTTGATCCTCCTCCAGCCCGTATATTTGGTTTGAGGGTGCTTGAGTTGAAAGAGCAAGGGGTTTCTGAGCAGGAGGCAATGGCAGTAGCTGATGTATGTATTCACGTTTCCTGTCCCTGAAATATATACGCTTTCTAAGTTGTTTCTAACTGTTTTTTCATGTCATCTTCTAGATGGAGTACCGTATGGAGAGAAAAGGAAAGAAAATGGCATATTCTCGCTTGAAGAAAATTGCACGCCTTCAAGGGAAAAAGCCTCCTCCCAACCCATATCCCAGCGCCATCAAGGAGATACAAGCTGAGGAAAAGAAGTATGTTCGCGACCGTTTTTTCAATCCCAGGATTAGGCAAATTTTGAGGAAATTGCAAGAGGAGCATGCAGCTGAGAGGCAGGACAGACTCCGAGGGGAAGGAGGTTCCTTGTAACTTTATGCCATCTTTTGATAATAATTTTGGTTAGCTAGCCTCCTGAGATTTGTTATATTGACTTTAGCTTTTGATCAAGTATTAGACAAGTGTGTTGAAAAGTATTCTTTTCAAATATTTTTCTTTCGCACCCTTTTCTCGAAGGTTAGAGAAATGCTATACATTTGTGAAATTTGCATTATATGGAGGTTACACTATGTGTCGTGCGTGTTCAACTCTTTTCCTAACCCCTGCTCAACAATACATATTGTCAGAACTTGGATTTGGAAGGTTTAACCCCTTGGTTTAGCGGTTTGATATGAGTACTTTTTCAAGACCCATTGCTTTCCAAGCCAATTTGCAGTGTGGCAATTTGCAGTATGCAGGTATACAATAAAGGACAATGTAGAACACATCACTAATAGTAGCAGTGCTCATGGCTAGTGAGAAACGCTTGTTACATACAATGATTGCTATCACCGTTTCACACAAGCTTTTCTGCATGGCCAGTAGATATTGTGGTTTACAATGTGATCAAGAGGTTGGTTCATTTCAATCCAACATATCTCGTTTAATGAGAGCTAATTGGCTAGGCTGGCCGGCAATGACATACAGAATTCAACTAGTATTTAATGTGTCTATTGAATGTATGCATTTCCAGGTAAAAGGCTTCTCAGCCTTCCATAAACTCTTTTGTCACAGCTTTGAAAGATTTGACTTGAAATTTATTGTAAGGTGGTCCATTGTATCCTATCAACAAATCTATCATTTCACAGACTGAATCCCCGACAGAAACTACTGTTTTTAACTGTCATGATGTCAAACGAATTTACAGTCGACAATTGAGCATGGCGAATATGGTGAAAGGAGAACAAACTAACTAATAAACTTGTGAGAGCTTGTATGCTTAGGTTTTGCTAGTGGACGACTTTCAATCGTTAACACACAGTAAAATTCACATGCATCAACAAGAATAATGGTTGCTCGCTGCCGCGTGTGCAACCTTCGGTGGTTGTGTGCATTAATCGGTCTCAAAAGTCATCTCCATGGTTGATTATGATTAAGGTGTAGATGTGATAACTGTAATTGATACTAAAGGACTTAAAAAAAAAAAAGAATTGTTTATAGTCAGAGTACTTGGGTTCTGTCAACATCTGCCTTAATCAATTCCCACCAAGAATTGCAGCTGATCATAAGTTTGTTTCATGTATCGATAGATAGCTAAGTAATGTTTTCTTATACTTAAATCTAAAATTGGAAGTTTTCTTAAACTTAAATCTAAAATTGGAAATTTTCTAGGCAACCAAACAAGTCCCAACACTAATTTCTTGCACGTAATCTGAAAGTTGAAACACAAATTTAGATAAGATAGCTGCAGTTGTCTTAGGCCTACGCCAGATGAAAGTATGGCCACCAATAAAAGCAGTGATAAAATCATTTAACTCTTCAAGGCTTCACCTACTCCAACCAACCCCCATAGAAATTATTATCTATTTTGCTCGGAAGATGGTCTAACCTCCAACCAGTCCCCAACGTCCCCTGCCTTCATGTATTGAAGTTTTGCTATAATTTTCTTCACCGCAAATCAGTCTTGCAATTTTCAAATGACAAAGTCAAGTGATGGAGAAAAACTACCTTGTCTTTATCGGTATATAATTATGTTTTTATCTCTCTCGTTACGTAACTACATCATGTGAATGTTTTTCTGAAAAATCAACCCAGATAACAAAGTCCAAACATTAATGCATACGTGTTTTATTTAAGTTATAACACACTCTTCTGTTTTTCACGTTAAAGAATGAACCAAATTAAATCCAGCCCAATTATTCCAAACATCTAGTCTCAAAGCCATTTTCTGGTGAGACTATTTAATGCTCACTTTGAATTCGACCTGCTTGGTTTGAACAATTAATTCATCATTGCAGTCGGCTGCAGGTGAGTTATTGTATCGACAATTGGAATAATTACTAATTACCATCACTGAAATGTCTGATATATAGTTGTATTTTATTAGATTGTTACTATTTACACCACATTTACTGTTTATATCATTGATAACCTCTCTAATAGAGATAAATCGAATATATATTACTATGCGAATACGGGCCACTTAGAGAGGTGATCATCAACGTGAACTATCTTATAACATTATTGTTTTGTTACTAAATATGGTCTCATTATAAACAGAGAGTGCATGTGATTCATCTAGCACATGAAAAACATGAAAGCGATGGGTGTACCATCTTTTACCCATACAGAAATAATAAACAACTAATTGGCTGAATATCCGCACTTACGAATTACAGTTTCATATTTATATATAAAATATATTTTTCGTACGTATATGTGTTAAATTGTAATTTGCACGTAAAAAGCATCCAAGCAATGTTATGAAATTATGCAAATAATTAAATAAATGGGAATTTTATGTAGACCCATGACCCATCAATGTGCAATACTCTCTCATGCACATTTTCAACCCCAACCACATTTCCAGCCAAAACAAGAAAAATACTTCCCTGCGTTAATTAATTTGTAGACCCAGCAAGCAGGGATAGCACGGTAATTTCAGCCCCAACTCCCTCATTTAAAACCCCCGCCTTCTATCTCACACCATCCCTCGCTCAAAAAGCAGACGCAGAGAAAGAGAGAAAAGAAAGAGAGGCTTCAGTTTCCCAAACGATGTCGTCGCAGGAGCAACCGCGGAGCTTCCCGTCCATTACGGCGTGCGACACGAGCGAAACGGCGTCGTACGATTCGATCGCTGCCGACCTCGACGGCACGCTCCTCATCTCCCGGAGCTCGTTCCCTTACTTCATGCTCGTCGCCATTGAAGCCGGCAGTCTCCTCCGAGGCCTCGTCCTCCTCCTCTCCCTCCCTCTCATCATCATCTCCTACTTCTTCTTCTCCGAAGCCCTCGGCATCCAAATCCTCATCTTCATCTCCTTCTCAGGCCTCAAAATCCGCGACATCGAGCTCGCCTCCCGCGCCGTCCTCCCCCGGTACACAAAAATCAAATAAAAAGCAATTTCATTTGAATATAAACATTTAAATTTGACATTTTTTATTTAATTTTTTGAATTGATCAGGTTTTATGCGGCGGACGTGAGGGCGGAGAGTTTCGAGGTGTTCGACAAGTGCAAGAGGAAGGTGGTGGTGACTGCGAATCCGACGGTGATGGTGGAGCCGTTCGTGAAGGATTTTTTGGGCGGCGATAAGGTGCTGGGCACGGAGATCGAGGTGAACCCCAAGACGAAGAAGGCTACCGGGTTCGTGAAGAAGCCGGGGGTTTTAGTGGGGAAATTGAAGCGTTTGGCGGTTCTGAAGGAGTTCGGCGACGAAGGTCCGGATCTTGGGATCGGAGATCGGAGCTCCGACCATGATTACATGTCACTTTGCAAGGTCAGTACTAGCACTTCTGCTACTTCACATTTTTGCTTAATTATTTCATTTATTTGGTGTTTTTTTTCCCCTTTCTAATTTGTTATAGTAAAAGCATGGGACCCACATAATTTAACTTTCCCAACCACTTGCCAGCTAAAATTGTATGTTGTCCATTCAATGGAACTGTGGATCTCTCATGGTAAGGAAAGGAAATCATTAAGTCAATTATTGTTAATGCATAATTTGGAAATGCAACCATTAAATGATCATAACCTACCGCATCTCCTTTAAACATTTTAAGCAAGGAATCTTATCGTCAAGTCTAAAAAAGAATAATAATAAAACTCTAGTTACAAGTATGCCTATATACCATGTTGAATTCACTGCGGATAATTAATTATTCTAAGACATTTGAAACTTGTTCCATAATTATGATCAGATATCTATTCAACAAATTTATAAATAAGCTAATATGGTTTTTTAATTCTTTGGCTAAAAAGGGGCAGTTGAATGATAATACTTATATTTGGTTTCATTATCTTCATTTTCATACGAGCTTTTGTGTTAAGTTTGATTTGTATGGTTGTAAGATTTGTCACGGTTGTGTATTACTTTTTGAGTTTAAAAACGATATTACATTTTAATTAAATTGTATCATAAATACCATGTGCTGGTTGGTGGAATTTATATCTAATTTTTAATTTGAAATAAGATTGGCTCCTTTAATTTATTCAGCTGTTTCATGTGAATTTTTGCTGACTCTGGTGTGGCTAATCGAATGTTGGGCAGGAGGGCTACATGGTGCACCCAAGCAAATCAGCCCGTCCAGTCTCCAAAAACCGCCTCAAGAGCCAAATAATTTTCCATGATGGACGCCTAGTGCAGCGCCCGGACCCACTCAACGCCATCCTAACGTATCTCTGGCTGCCATTTGGCTTCATCCTCTGTATAATGCGTGTGTACATCAACCTCCCTCTCCCCGAGCGCATCGTAACGTACACTTACGCAATGCTGGGGATCAAGCTCGTGATCCGCGGCAACCGGCCCCCACCGCCCTCTCGCGGGACCCCCGGCAACCTCTACGTGTGCAATCACCGTACAGCGCTCGACCCGATCATCATCGCCATTGCGCTCGGACGCAAAGTCTCGTGTGTGTCGTACAGCGTAAGTCGGCTCTCGAGGTTTCTCTCGCCAATCCCAACCATTGCTTTGACCCGCGATCGTGAGGCTGACGCTGCCCGCTTATCAGCGCTTCTCCAGAAGGGAGACCTCGTGGTGTGCCCCGAGGGCACCACGTGTCGCGAGCCCTTCTTGCTGCGATTCAGTGCTTTGTTCGCAGAGATGAGCGATAGGATCGTTCCCGTGGCGGTAAACTGCAAGCAGAACATGTTCTACGGGACCACGGTGCGCGGGGTCAAGTTCTGGGACCCGTATTTCTTCTTCATGAACCCGAGGCCCACTTACGAGGCGACGTTTCTGGACCGGTTGCCGAGCGACATGTCGTGCAAGGCTGGGAAGTCGGCGATTGAGGTGGCGAATTATGTGCAGAAGGTGTTGGGCGATGTGCTGGGGTTTGAGCGCACTGGATTGACGAGGAAGGACAAGTATTTGTTGCTGGGAGGGAATGATGGCAAGGTGGAGTCTATGTACAACGCAAAGAAGTGAAGGTGCGTGATGTGGGAGGGTATTTTGGTCATTCGCAGTGATAGGAGAAGAGATAATGTGTTCAGAAGGGTATATTGGTCTTAAGTGTAGAGAAGTTTATGTGAATTTGGATAACGTGATTGATTAAGGCTCCATCCATATGAAGTTGTTTGTTGTTGTTATGTTAATCTATTATAATATTTAATATTTATATTCCTCCGGGCTGTTTTATTTTTCATTGGGATAGATTTGACATTGGGATCGAGAAATCCCAGGCCACCAGTATGGCCTCGAAACCAGTTTGATGTTCCTGCTGGTATCTCAACAGGTTGTGGGATAAGCTTAGCCTCTCCTGGGCTGTTGTTTCCTCGGCGTGGTGAAGCCGTTGCTCGACCATAAGTTTCCTGCCAACTTTGGAAAGCCTTAGCTTGGTTATCCCATTTTTCTAGCATATGGATCATTAGCTGTTCCAATGATGCTTGTTTAGTGTCACGGGATGACTTTTTCGGAGTCTTCCTTCCGTGCGGCCTTAGACTTGATCGCCTCACGAACAAGCTAAGTCAGCCTCCTTCCTACAATACAAGATCGAATCAAGCAAAGAACAATCGCAAGAGCAAGAACAGTAAGAATGCTTAACAGATTTTGGGAGAATATATGCTTGTATTGCTACTCAAATGCTTTACAAGTTGTGAGGTGAGGATACACAATGTGTCATCCCCCTTATATACTATCCCTATCCCACCTACCACCACAGTAGGTGGGTAAGATACAATGTCACCTACCAACATCTACCAACTACTGTCACCAACTGTAGTCTACCAACTACTATACAACGAATCTGGACATGTGGGCTAAGAGGTCTAGCATGATCAATCCAACGGGTTGGGCCTTGAACATGCGGGCCGTGACATTCTCCCCCACCTAATCCGGCAACATCTACCAACTACTGTCACAAACTGCAGTCTACCAACTACTATACAACGAATCTGGACATGTGGGCTAAGAGGTCTAGCATGATCAATCCAACGGGTTGGGCCTTGAACATGCGGGCCGTGACATTCTCCCCCACCTAATCCGG